ACACAGTATGCAAAAATGCTAGGTGATTGGGCGATGCAAGCCTCCAAGGGCGCCTTGTTGCCTAGGCGTCGCCTTGACAACTATGGGTGGACCCCTCCCTCGGATGTGGCAAGCCTCTTTAACCCAAGCTTCTTCCTACTACCAAAGATTAGGGGTAAAGTGATGTAGAGGGCAACAAGAGCAGTTGTTCTTTGGTCTTTATGGAAGGAAAGGAATAACAAAATTTTCCAAGGGGTATAAAGATTGATAGAACAAGTCATTGACTGTGTAGCCATTAAAGTTGTACATTGGCCTTAAAACCAAACGAAGCCTGTTAGCAACTCAAATTCAGTGATCCTAGTCCTCCCCCTGTCCTACTAGGTATGGGTGTCATTTCTTTTTTGGGTGACTTGTGTGCTATGCCTGTAATAGATACTCTAGCTTCCCATCCAGGAGGATTTGATGTAAGAGCGAGGGTGATAGTGGAAGGAGGAGAGAGGGTGGTGGAAGGAAGTGGTAAGGGGACAAGTGAGGAGGCGAACAAAATCTGGAAATTGATTTGTACAGGGTTGGGGGAACTAAAAAAAGGAAGGAGTCATAGAGCTGTTGTAGCCAAAATGAGTGCGAGAATGGTAATGATCTATTTTCAAATATTAGATGGAAAGGATGTAGAGAAGGAAGAAGATGCTTATTGTATTAGGAAGGGGGAAAGAGGAATAAAGAAGAAAAAAAGATCTGAAGTTGGAAGGCTAATCTCAGACATTGAGGGAGATTTAGAATTTAGTGGTAGAGGGGATAGGAGGAAGGGTCTAAAATAAGGGGACAAAAAGGCTTCTTCATGGGTGTTTTGCTATTTTTGTCTCGATGAAAATTATTAGCTCGAATGTAAGAGGTCTAGGGAGTGCAAAAAAGAGAAGGGTGACCAAAGATCTACTCTGAAGGGAAAAACCCGACATTGTGCTGTTACAAGAATCCAAATTGATGGAATTAGATGGGAGATGGGTTAGGAGTTTCTGGAGGTCTAGAGGTGTAGGTTGGACTTCGTCTCCTTCTTGGGGAGCCTCGGGGGGGATTGTAACACTGTGGAGGGAGGACGTGGTGGAAGTAGTGGAAGAATTGATAGGCAAATTCTCAATTTCCATCAAGGTTAAGAATGTAGAGGATCGGTGTGTATGGGTTCTAACCAATGCTTATGGCCCTGACTCCTATAGAGAGAGAAATGAAATGTGGGAGGAATTATATGCAATAAAGGGCGGCCCTTGGTGCCTAGCTGGGGATTTTAACGTCATTAGATTCTCTGTAGAAACCACTAATCCCCAACAGGTAATCACAACAAGCATGTGGAAATTTAATGGTTTTATTGAAGAGTGTGAGTTGAAGGAAATAACTCTGCTACAAACCAGTTATACTTGGTCCAACTTTTAGGAAACCCCTTTGTCTTCAAAGTTGGACAGCTTTTTATTTAACCTAGCTTGGGAAAATAGATGGGTAAACTTGGTTGCTAGAGTATTACCTAGGGTCATCTTTGATCGTTGTCCTATCTAGATAGGCACCGAGTCTTTTTCTACTAGACCCAAACCTTTAGATTTGAAAATATGTGGCTTACCCATCCAGATTTTGTGAAAAAAGTGAAGGAGTGGTGGGGTGAGGGGGTCAAGTTTCATAAGAAGTTAAAGAGGTTGAGATCCAAAACAAAAGAGTGGAATAGTGATCACTTTGGTAGAATTAAGGAGCAAAAAATTAGCATAATCTCTTGAATAGAAAACTTGAATGTAAAGGAATCTCAAAATGGTTTGACCGAGGATGATAGAGTGTTAAGGAGACAATTGAAAAAAGGATTTGGACGAGGTGTTATTGAGGGAAGAAAACATTTGGAGACAAAAATCTTAGACACAAGTGGATTAAGGAAGGCGATGGAAACACTAGATTTTTCCATGACTTGGCCAATGAGAGACGAAGAAAGAATTTTGTGACCAAGCTAGAGATAGRAGAGGAGGTGATTACCAACCAGGGTGATGATTACCACCCTGCCCTGCAGACTTTCCCCAAGTCTTAAAGTTATTCTCTTTTTTCTCTTTTTTTCTTGGTTTCCTCAGTTGCCTTAGCCTCTTTTGTAGTAACTGCTCTGCCTTGCAACCCATGTAAACAGGCCTGTTCTGTCCCTTCTTCTTCCTCCCTTCGTCCCTCCTTCCATAGTTGAGCTTCAATGGAATTAGCAAGCCAAACAGGGAGCTAAACCATCTGAAACAACCTCTATCTTCCTTGGAATGTTACTGGGTTTAACTCCACCTAGATTCAGTGCAGCTGAGTGATTATCAAAAAATCAAAGACACCATCTAATCTTGCATCACAGGTTATTGCTATTGACTGTAATACTTCCTCCTTCCAGAGAGAGGACACCATTTTGAGACTGTGACAGCACCAGCCTTTGAGTTAATCTTTTAAGCTGAAATCTCTACTTCAACTTCACCCAGATCAATCAGAGCTTTACAAGATTCATAAGATGTAATCACCATTGGCTTTGGCAGGTTCAATTCTCTGAGTATCACCTGCGCAATACCCCTCCAATCCTTTGGTGGGCTTGAAGATTCCACCACAAATTTCTTCCCTCAATCTCCTTTCTTGCTGTTGCTACCAATTTACAGATTCTTCTTCCTTTTTCTGCAGTCATCCATCCTGTCAATGGATTCTGCCTCTTTCTTTTGTTTAACCACTTTCTTTTCCTTTGCTACAACCTCTATTTGTTCCGTTTTCAGCTATTGTGTAAAATCACTCAGTAACTCTGCCACTACCTTCCATCCACGACCCCTTCCACCTTCTGGGAAGCAAACTAACTGCTTCTTTCTTCCTCCAAAGAATTTCTGCAGAGTTATGTAGCATCCTTCTGCATTCTTTTTATATTCCAGCTCATAGCTCATATCTATTTCTTCCATCTAAGTTAAACTCCATAAAGATCACTTCTTTACCTTTAGAACTTGCTCCCAAAGAAAACTTCTGCATCCATCGATTACTTGAAAACTTTCCAGCAGTATTGTGGCTTTCTTTGCCTCCCTAATCTTCAAGCTCCGCTGGCCTCTGATCCTTATCTCTTCGAAAATGAAATCTTTTGCTTAATCTTCATCGCTTTCCTCCATCTTGCAGCTTCTACGAACCTTTCCTCCATCTTATCTGATAGTTTTTTTTCTCTGAAAGGCATTAGCAGTTCTTTTAACCCAGTTAAGTCTAACATCCATTATCTCATGTCACCCACTTGAATTTCTTTTTCACTATTGTAGTTCGTCCAGCTTCTTCCTATTGCAGCCATTCCACTACCAGCTTTGAATCATCTTCTATAATCAGCTCATATCCTGGTAGCAGCCAAGGCAATCCAGGTCCCTCAGGGATAGGAGGGGTGCTGAGAGATAAAGACAGCAATGTCTTAGCTTTATTCTCAGGCTTCGTGGGTATAGGAGACTTATTAGAGCTGAGCTTCTAGCGGCGGTACAAGGTATTCAGATTGCAGACCAGTTAGAAGTTCAGAATCTGCTTATTGAAGGAGACTCCAAAGTTGTTGTGGGTTGGTTAAAAAATCCAGATTCAGTTATTTGGTGCTACAGGGACATTCTGAGGAAAGCTAATTGGTTTTCAAGGAACATGACTGCTAATTCTCAGTGGGTGGGTAGAACAGCTAATACCATTGCGGATGGATTAGCTAAGCAAGGAGTATCAAGAGAACATTTATCCTGGGCATCTCTGTAACCTTTCATTTCCTAGTCTGATGTAATACATTGTTGTTGTTTAGGAGAGGTACCAGCTTGTGCCTCTCCTTGGGCAGTCTGTATTGTAATATCATATTGTTTTTTTTTTGAATAAAATATCACTCATTTATCAAAAAAAATCAGCTTATATCCTTTGCCTTTTGCACTCTCCTAATGCCTACCAGTGCCCTCTTTTTTAGTAATAAATGTTAAGTTTTTTTTTTTCCCGAAAAAGGGAATGAAATTATGGGAAAACAGTGCTCATATTAAACACTGAAGCATTCTTTTATTGAAATGGTTCTTGAGTACATAATGGTCTCAATGTCTAAAAGGTTTTATTGTCCTTTTCATTCTGGTTTTCTAAATGTTGATGCGCATTCTCAAATTGTGCAATCTGTACAATAATAAGCATATAGGATCAATTTGGATTGTAATTCTGGATTCCTTGTTTTTACCACAGTTTTTTGAGCATGGAAGCCCTGACCAGAGGAAAGAGCTTGCAAATCAACTTAGTGGTCATATTTTGGCTCTAAGTCTTCAGATGTATGGGTGCCGTGTTATCCAGAAGGTATTTTAACTTCGTTTAGTATGTTAATTTTTGTGATTAATAAATTTGCATTGCATGCTGATGGTAATTCCTAATTTGTGTGCTATTTTGGTTTGGCAGCATTAATGTATTTTAGTTCCTTTTTTGGGGCAATAATGTATTTTGGTGCTTTTTTTATGTACTAAAAGAATTGGGATCTTTGGAGCTCTGTATGTTGTTTATTAAACAGTCAAGAGACAAAAGTAACACTGTAACCACAGGTTAAAATACTAAACATTTCCTTTAGGGGTGCAAGTTAGGTGTCTAGTCTGAAGGATTTTCCCTTCAAATTTTAATAAATGCTTAATTCGAGCTCACCCAAGCTGCATCTCTAATTTCTTCTCAAGCTGCATGGATATTGATCATTCCCAGCTTGTCCAAGCTATTTTGCAGTTTAGATTTAATGCACCTTTAGTAAACATATTAGATAACGTGTTTTTAACTTTAGGGTAGGCATACTTTTCTAGTCATAACTTTCTCTCAGATAAAATGGCTGTTTACCTCAATATGCTTGGTCCTATCCTGGTGTGCTAGATTATGTGGAAATTTTATTATTGCTTGATTGTCATAGTGGCAAGGATAAAAATTTTGCAACATATCGGGGTGTGGTGGGTGTAACACCTTGATAGACTGAATACTCAAGGTTTTGGGTTTTTACTATTTTCAGGGTGTAGTCAGGCCCAAGGTTGACCCCTTGTAAGATTTTGCAAAAAAAAAAAAAAGCTGTGTGCCTTTGTTTCACCCAATATGCAAGTTTGTGTGTATTGGGTAAATCGATTCTTTGAACCTTAATAGTAGAGCTTCCTTGGGTAATTAAAATTATTTTTTGACTATCTGAAGAGATTTCTTAGCCACAACAGTTCATAGACACCATGCCAATGCCGTTGCCCTATATTCAACTTTGAGTCTTGGACAATTGATCTGCCACTTTGACTCACTTTTCCATGATACTAGACTACCATCAGCAAATGCAACTATAATTGGAGGCAGAATGCTTGTCATTAAAAGAATCATTCCAATCAGCATTTGTATATGCTTTCTTATTAATACAATACTTCATAATAGCCTTGTCTCAAAAAAAAAAGATTAGAATAAAGAATCTATCTTTCAAGTGTTCCTTCAAGTAATGCAATATCTGTTCAATTGTTGCCATATGATGTATTTGAGGCTGTTGCATACAGTGATTTTAAAGGCACGCCTTAGGTGCGCCTAGGCGCACAGGTGGGGCACATTTCAGGGTAGGCGCCTCGCCCAGGTCCTAGGCGCAGCCTTTTCAAAAGGCACAAGCTTGGCGTGCGCCTAGTGCGCCTTGCGCCTCAGCCCAGGTATGCGCCTTTTGGAAATTTGACACTTTTTTGCTTTTTTTTTTGTGTCTAGCGGCTACCGGCTACCGGCTTCGCCCCTGGACCCCTGTGCCACATCCCTCGAGGCAAGCAAAACAAGTCCATGCTAGGTCTTAAATTCCTATCAAAGTGGAGTAGAACCCCCTATTTGGTAATGTTGTTCATTCATTCATCCTAATAAAATGTCTTCTTAAAAAGCAATTAAAACTATAAAATCATTATTTGTTGTGTAAGAACTAAGAATTTAAGACCTAACGTGGACTTGTTTGGGCTTGCCTCGAGGGGTGTGGCACAAAGGTGGCTCGTAGAATCAGGAATGTAATATGTTTTACATCCCATTAGCTACTTGAAGTAATGCAGTTGAGAAAAAAAGAGTGGGTTTTATATGCTTGAAAATGTTTTATGTATTTGATTTTATTTTTAAATTCTCATTTGAATATGCTTTACATGTTATATTTATGTATTTTAGTATTAGATAATATGTGTTTTAAAACATTTATTTAAAAATTAAAGTTTATATTTTTGTTAATATTATGCTTAATAAATTTTTGATTTTTTGAAATTTTTGGCATTTTTTTTTATTTTTTAGCTTATTTTTTATTTTATTTTTTATTTTTGTGCCTTGCTTAAAAAGTTGTGCGCCTCGCCTTGTGCCTTGCACCTCAGGCGCAAATTGACCCCTGTGCCTTGCGCTTTTAACACATTGGTTGCATATACATAGACTGGCTGCATTAACATCATGGTAAATATCTGGTTGGGACCTTATGGTTGCAACTTGGGTTGGGTTGGGTGGGGTCAAGGTTCAAAGTATCGTTATGCATCGGCCGATACGTATCGTTCTGGGACCCTTTCAATACGCCCCTACAGTGGATGTATCGGGGGCCTGACTGGTTCAGGGGATGGAGGGGTCCTAGACCGGCTCCCCTGAACCAGTTTTGAAAAAAAAATAAAAAAAAGGGTAAAAGAACGAGTATCGAAACGCTCGATACGCCCCTACCGGCATATTGGGCGTATCGATATTTTGAACCTTGGGTGGGGTGGAGTTTATATTTGGTTTAGGGTTGAAACTAACAACCTGACATGTCTTCATGTTTGTATGAATACATATTATATAAATTTGCATGTATATATTGGAAAAAGTGCCTGTGTATGTGTATATAACTATGTGTCCATGAACAAATGCATTTATATGTATGTATCAACAATTGTAAGTTAAAGATAAAAATTTTCTAGAAAGATAAAAAAAGAGTTGAAAAAAATTTATAGTTTGATATGAGTGTATAACTCCTGAAGTACCATAGTTTTGTCCTTGTACAAATGACAATGCTAAAATCAGGGAAACTTAGATGACTAATTTTAAGTCTAAGAAATAAGAACAATCTAGCTTCCTTTTTTTGTGAAAGAAGTTTGGAGTGTCCCTATCCCCCTAAAATATAGTATTTTTGTTGGGAAGTTTACCATGGTTGCATCAATATGTGCAACTTGTTGCAAAAGAAATGATCTCCTACCCTTGTGTTTGCTGTATTTGGGAATGGTTTTGCTCTTTTTTTGGTTGCAGGTGGATCCCTCTTGTTAGTTTGGATAGGCGCTTTAGTCCATCTTTCCTAAGGAGCACTGAGGGAAGAAGCAGAATATTGTAGAGATGCACAAGGGCAGTGGTAGTTTGGACAATTTGGGAGGAGTGGAACTCAAGAATCTTCGTGGAGAAAGGGAAGAATAAGGAAGCAGAGACTGTTACTGAAGGGGTAAGCACACTATGTAAAGACCATGAAGCTTTTTTCAGATTTTACAGTAGAGGACTTGTACAGAAAATGGGGTTCAATTGATGGCTCATCATCTGGGAAGCACAGAGTCCATGGTAATTTGGACAAGGGCAGGACAGTGGTAGTTTGGACAATTTGGGAGGAGGGGAACTCAAGAATCTTTGAGGAGAAAGAGAAGAACAAGGAGGCAATTATTGACTGTTACACAGGGTAGCGCACTAGGTGAAGACCATGAAACTTTTTTCAGATTTTACAGTAGAAGACTTCTTCAGAAATTGGGGTTCAATTGCTGGCTCATCGTCTAGGAAGCCAAGAGTCCTTGGGGTTTGTCACCCCCAGATGGAGGATGGACGAAACTATACTTTGATGGAAGTAGTTTGGGAAAGCCAGGGCCTTTTGCAATTGGAGGAGTGATTTGGGATGAGAGGAGGGAACATATGTGGATTGTTTTCGGCCAATTGGTCTAGGTGATTTAATTAGGGCAGACCTAATGGCTGCTGTTTTTGGGGTGCAAAAATAATAGTCGGGTGGATGAAGAAAAGGGAGGGGGTGATTTGGCAATACAGGAATGCCTCAGGCAGTTCAAGATGTTGTCAAGAGCTATGAACATTCAAGTTATATGGTGAAGAAGGTCTGCTAATGGTTTGGCTGATGGATAGCTAAGAAAAGAGTGCATAGAAATCACTTGTATTGGGCTCAATTGTAATGGATGGTGGGCGTTCTTTTGATGTAAAGGGTGTTCAGATTTAACAATTTCTTGTTGTAACCTTTTTCTTAATTAGTTTTAGTAAAATTTTCTTTGTTGCTGATGAAGAAAAAAAGAGCAATCTAGCAAAATAAAATGAAGCCAGGCCAACCTGAACCTAGCCTGACCCAAAAAAATTCGATTGTATTAGGGTTAAGATTGGGGGTTTAACATCTTGCAACCACCTTCTCATCAACTGTGAGATAGTGGGCTCCTAGTTCTAAGATTTTCTTAAGCAATGTCTGGGTTGCAGATTGGGTAAAAGAGATATTTTGTATGGGATGGCAGTTATTCAAGCTGTAATGTATCCAAAAAAAATCATGCTCTACTGTGGTGTATTTGGGAGGAATGTATGCTAAAGCATGGCCCCTATAAGATCTAAAAGGGAGAATCCTATTTTTATATAATTCTTGGATGAGAGCTAATAAGCTGTTTAGATGTACCACTCATTGGGATTTAGTGGGAAACATGATGTAGTTTCTGAATTCTTCATGCACGAATTTCTCTAAAAGAATCAGCCTATATCCCAGACCTCTTGTGGAGAATATTCTGCAGTTTGATGGCAGCTGTAGAAACTTGATGAGTTACAGAGGCCAGGCTGGTATTAGGGGTAGAATTCTAAAATTTAATGATCTGGTTTGGGCCTTCAGTGAGCTGATTGGGTAGACAGAAACTGTAGAAGCTGAAAGCCATGCCTTGTTGGTGGGTTTGAGGACTGTGGTGGTTTTTAATCTCTCTTTGGTGGTGGTGGAAGGAGACTATGGATTGTCATCAGCTGGATGACTCATTTGAGGATGGTCCATGGAGATTCAACTGCCTATTCAATGACATCAAGGAAATTACTTCATATGTGGATTACTAGAGAGCTTAATAGTGTGGTGGATTCTTTAGCCAAATTTGGGGTGGGCAGGGATTCCTTGTATGGTGATTCATCTTTGCCTATTAATAGGATTGGGAGGGTCTTTTTTGCAGTTTTGATTATCTTATTTGTACATCTTCTAATGTACATCTACATCCCTTTCCTTATTTTGTTTCAATGAAAGTTTTAAAAGAGTACAAAAGTCTCCAACCAACCTCTGATTGCAGTGTTTGTATGTGGATGTATTGGAGTTTTTGTGCTTCACAGTTGGTGAAACTGAAGCATTAGCACTTTTACACATGGAGAAAAGGTAGATGTGATCTTTGCTCTCACATTGTTTTCCTTGGCCCTTAGTTGCAAGCATCTGGATCTCTCTTCATGCCAAAATTGCAACAGAGCATTTGATATTATTCTATGCCATATTGACATTAAAATGTGGTATACTAGAGCAGTTGTATCCAACATGATTTGGCAATATGGACAGTTGTTTGGGTGTCATAGTTTTAGAGATGTTGAGGAAACTTCTCTTCTCTCTCTTATTTTTCTTTTTGATTAGTATTTGAGGAAAGCTCTGTTCATTTTTTTATCAATGACAATGAACACTTTTTATTAATTTGTTACATAAAATGAGTTACAGTAGTACAGTTAGAAGTATTTTCTTGTAGGATAGCATGCACTATCTACACCACTTTTTTTTTTTTTTTTTAACGTTATGTTTCCCATAGAACTGACCCCAAAACAGATGTATTGTTTCCACTCCTTGTTGAGACAAGGCACTGGCTATGTTGTTTGTACTTTTAGGAGTCCATTGAAAGCTCTGTTAATCATAATTAGGGGTTTTACATATATCATTATGCCTTATTCATGTTGGAAGTGTGAAATTAAATTATTGAAGTGATCTCTAGGAATGCTTAAAAAGGTGATCTTTGGGTGCCTAGGTCATTCTACATGAATAGTTCTATCTTCCGTGCTCCTTATTCAGAACACGAGTCCAAGATTCTAATCCTATTCTGTATGTTGGTTTAGGCACTTGAGGTTATTGAACTGGATCAAAAAACTAAGCTTGTCCATGAGCTGGATGGACATGTTATGAGATGTGTACGTGATCAAAATGGGAATCATGTAATACAGAAATGCATTGAGTGTGTCCCTACAGAGAAAATTGGATTCATAATTTCAGCTTTTCGTGGTCAAGTTGCAACACTGTCTACACATCCATATGGATGCCGTGTTATACAGGTAATAAAGCACTTCTTTTTTTTGTGAATTCTCTATTTCCTATTTCTGTCATCATATTCTTATGGAGCTGCTTTGTTTATTTGTTTATATTTTTGGTGTTTTTTGGAGTAGAGAGTCCTGGAGCATTGCACGGATGAGCTGCAAACTCAGTGTATAGTGGATGAGATCCTGGAATCTGTTTGCACTCTTGCCCAAGATCAGTATGGAAACTATGTTACTCAGGTTGGCCTTGGTTGCTTTCCTGCTATAGCTATTATATTATTCCTCTTAGAGTGAATCTCATATAATAACTTGGATTTGATGAGATACTATATGTTCAATAATATATTTTAGAACATTGATTCATAAAAAGAGGAGTGCTGAAGTCTTGATGTTGGAAGTGTTTTGTTTTACATGTTTCCTCTTTTTCCCTTTTCTTTGTGTTTTTGTTATGTGCATGTGGATAGTGGCATTGAAAGGACATGGTAGGGGGTGTCAGATTGGGCAACGCTGAAAAAATGTTCTATTTTTTAGGTTTATCTTTCAAAGGTATACATTGTTCTCGTTTTTCTTATACAAATGAATAAATTGTTCAGATGCATCCCTAGATTAGGCAATGTTCCTTCGGATAGCCGAGAAGGGATTATTTGTGTTTTGAGACTGCTGGCCTAGGGGAGTAGTTTTCCTTGTTATATCTGTTTTGATGCTATAGTGTGTTAGTATTTGCACTTTTCCCCCTTATTCAAGATTCTTCTGGATGTGGAAGTTATACTTTTTTTCTTCATCTTACTGCTATCAATAAAATATCTTTCATTGTTTTTGATGAAAAAAAAAATTGATGAAATAACTGATAGAAAAGAGAAGATACTAAAGGTGAAATTATTAACCAATTCAAAGTTCAAAGGAAGTAAACTATTAAAATACTTTGAAGTGGCAGTATTATATTTATGAAGTATTACAGATTTTTTAAAGTTTAATCTTTGCTATGGTTCCAAGCACTTCATGGACTCGGGGAAAATCAAGTCTCCTGCATGGTGTTGGTCGGTGGGTTTTCTACTGTAGAACAGTTTTTCAGTGGAGTGTATAAGATGGAAATAATTTAAGAATTTTCAGAAATCAATTCCAAAAGGCTGTTATTTTAATCGATCTTTTTGCAGTAAGGGTGGCACATTGAATTTCTACCCTTCAGGAGTTCAGACCTATTCCTTCAGATTATTGCCTGGATGCTAATGGCTAATGAGTAGCTAGCTTTGACAAAGGACTTCTACTTATTCTGTTTGGTAGTTTAACTTTGTCAGTTGTCTTTAGGCAATGCCAGTATGGTTGTAATCAGGTTGGATCGGATTATATCAAGCTACACGCTGTGTTTTTGTTTCGATAATTCAGCTACTTGCATGCTGTTTTGATCTTATTATATTGCAAAAGTTTTCTCTTGTTTTAGGAGCAGTGGCGATGGATTTTTGAACTTATAAGAAGTTTAAGAAGGTTTATGAGAGGGAAGCATTGAAGGAGACTTCTCTTTTGTCTGATAGTGTTTAGAAGATAAACAAAGTCCATATTTGTGTCATTAAGAGTGGCTTCTAGACATAATAATGGTGATGGGGATAGTTTTGTTCTGGGAAACATGTCTGAGGATGGAGGTGGCATGAACCAAGAGCAGGTTGTTATTTCTATCCATCACCATTAGTCAGAGTCTCACAGAGAGGGTGGAAGAACTGTATCCAGTTGAACCAGTAGGTGATATGAACCTGAATATCGAATTGCAGAAATTTACTTGTTTTCTATAAATTGGATGTATTGATAAAGGATTGTTTGGATGCTGATGAAACTATGGTTAGGAAGGATGGTGGAGAGGAAGCTGAAGATGCTGGTGTAGTAGTTGATCAAAAGTTTAAGGTAAATAAACATGTGGATATTAAAGAAGTGATAGATAAAGAAATAGAGGTAGGGAAGAAATTAGGGGTGTTCTTTTTAGGAGGTAAGGAACTCTAGGATAAATTTTCTGGAATTAGAAGAGTAAGAGAGAATAAGGCCCTGTTTGGTGGTACTTTTAAAAGTATTTTTCACTTTAAAAGTATGAAAGTACCAAAAGTACTGGAACACGTTTGCTTGGGGTGTTTTTTACTTTTAATAAACATGAAGTAAAAGTGCAAAAACCATGAAAAGCACAAAGTCAACTTTTGGTACTTCGTGCTTTTTGGCCTCTGATATACTTGATACTTTCTAAGACATGTGGCTTGACCAGACTTGTGATACTTATACACTCCACCATGTGGTAGCATATATGAATGCCACATGGAAGCATAGGCACATTAATGTATTCATTGACATGTGGCATGCAATATTGTTGACTTACTTTCAGGTGCCACATGACATTCATTTATGCTGCCATGTGGCATCCACATTGTCATTGATCCAACATTTAGATGCCACATGGCATCCATATATGCCACCACATGGCATCTACATGTCAATGACCCATATTCAAATGTCATGTGGCATTCATATATGATACCATGTGACATCCCCATATTATTGACTTCCATTCAAATGCCACATGACATCCATATATGATGCCATGTGGCATGCATACACATAAAACATTTTGTTGTATCCAAACACGACCATTTACTTTTACTTTTGAAAAACATGTTTTTGGTGTAAAAGTACGAAACCCAAAGTATACCATGTGCTTTGTACTTTGGTGCTGTTGAAAGTACAAAGCACACAGTACTGCCAAACGGGGCCAAAGTATTTTATGTACTTTATACTTTGGTATTTTTGAAAGTACAAAAGAAGTCTATCCAAACAGTGCCTAAATTAGGGGTGCTTTGTACTTTCATACTATCGAAAGTACAAAGCACAAAGTATTACCAAATAAGGCCAATAAATTCTTAAGCCTGCATCTTCAATATACTTTCAGAAGCAGGGTGAGATGTTTCAGAAGGATGGATAATGTGGAGAAAGTTGAATTTTTTTTTCCTTGAAAAGATGGATTATACTGAGACTTGAAAGGAATGTTTGAATGTGTACTTTTGCAGTTTTCCCTAGTTTTGTGAGGAGGATTTGCAGAACAAGGCAATAATTATTCACAGAAAAAGTTTTGGCTATATTAGATGATGAGGGTTGGCTTATTAGATGATTGGGCATGAATTACGACAAGTCTAAATTGGCTGTTGATTTTTCTTGGGACCAGGTGGCTAGTAGGTTTGATAATATGGAGTAGTACTTGATTTTTGGTCTTTTCTATTAGGTCATGGTGATGTGGTGTCTTCAGGAGGTTATGTTGTGGGTTTTTCTACATGTATCTTTTCCTTTTCAATGAAAATTTTCTTTTTACTGTAAAAAATGAATACTGATGGATAAACCGTTCTAAATTATCAATGACTTGCTGGTTTTGAAAACTCTTTGAAAATGTAGCTGCTGGCTAAAAGTCAGGAGCTAAAAATATGCTGCATCAACAAATTGGACATAAATATAAGTGGAAGAAAATTGTCAAGTAGAAAATTTTCTGAAATTGAGGGGAAGATGTGCCATGGACAGTATGGTTTTTGGTAAGATGGCTAGAGTTTTGGGGAATAGCTGGAATTGCTAGTTCAGTTTGGTTCCCAGATGAGCATGTACATTGGCAGATACTCTAGCAAGAGCAGGAAAGTTGAGTTCCCAGTGAGTGGATCTATGTAACAAAATTAGTGGTTAAGGAACCAAAGGGTGTGCTTATCTTTGTGCTGATTTCTTTTCATGGAATCATTCTATACTCGAGATTCTCCCCTTTTTATTATTAAATCCTTGATTTACTGTTGATTATGAATACAATCCATTTGTAGCTTGACTCCTTGTAACCTGTCTTAGAGATTGTCGAGCTGTATCTATAAAAGTTAATATTTGATGTATGCATCACTATACTATTTGAGCAGGTGGAGACATCAGTTTATTGGTGGTGCTTTTAAGCTTAACTTTTTTATGTTGTTTTGTATTTCCTCTTTTGACATGTTGCGCTGACCCTCAATTTTCCCTGAAAATATGCACACTAGTAATATGTGTATATGATCTTGCCATTTTGATCTTATAAACTATTACCCGGATATGGAAAAGTCATGGATATGGTATCAGATATGAAGTTACACTGATAATTGAAGTATCCAACATGATATGGCACCCTTGTTCGGGTATCTTGGTATTATAGCTTGTAAACGAGTCCTTTACCAATTCATCAAATTACAATGATAGAGTTGTTTTAATATTTATTTCTTATTACTGCTTATCTGGTAGAAACATCTGCTTTTGTTTTCACAAAGTATAAATGTTTCTAATCTAATGGTTATTTTATATCGATATTTTTCAGGTTATCTTCTTCTAATGAATTATACTTGACTCTTTAGTTGTCTTTCTTCCCCCCTACCATTTCTCCATTTTCCTCCACATAATTTCTTACGTGTTTTCACTTTTTGCAGCATGTTTTGGAGAGGGGAAAGCCCCATGAAAGGAGCCAAATTATTGGCAAGTTGTCAGGGCAAATTTTGCAAATGAGTCAGCATAAATTTGCATCAAATGTCATTGAGAAGTGTTTGGAACACGGTGATACTACTGAGCGGCAATTAATGATTGAGGAGATTGTTGGGCAGACAGAGGGAAACGATAATTTATTGGTGAGTTGATTAAAAAGCCTCAAAACCGTATTTGAGTTAGTCATTTAAAGCATGTCCTTGCAATAGCTTAGCCCAAGAATGTAAAGTTTCATATTCTAAGCATATTTAATGATTCTTGGTTTTTTGATCAATAACACACTATATATTAAAAAAATAAAGAAAGTGATAAGGTATTCAGGGTATACACCAAAAGGGAAGGGCTAGGGAAAAAATAATACCCTTGTTCCCCTGACCTTATAAAAGTCCTGTGAGACTCAAATGTACAAAAGAGACATAGACAGTTGTCAAGGTGCCAAGGTGAAGTAGGCTAAGTTTTATTAGTTATTGTAACAAAACTCGGGAAGGGCAGGTATAGGAGGTGTTATTAGAAATCATCTAGGTGAAGTTGTGGCACTCTTCTCGGGACCAATAGGTATTGGTGATTCAATACAGGCAGAATCATTGGCTCTACTTCGAGGCTTAAAGATGGCTGAGCAGATTGGTACAACAGACTTAGAAATAGAAGGAGACTCACTGCTGGTCATTTCTTGGGCTAAAAACATTACATCAGCACCTTGGAAGCTCAAATTTATATACAGAGAAATTAACATAATTGCAAGGAAGTTCAACACTCAGTTTGGCTGGATCAAAAGGACTGCACATGGGTTGGCGGACACTCTAGCAAAACAGGGGGCAAATAGATCTACCTTGTACAGGGCAGAACTGTAAATGCTTTGTAGTATTTGCAGGTTGGGTTAATGCTTTCTGCAACCAATATCTATTGTATTTCAATATCTGTGTTATTAATAAAATCCTTTTGCTGATTGTTTCATAGCAGTCAGCAATCATCTTTACCAATAATTAGTGGTGATCTTCACTAGCTAAATACAAACTTCTTATTAAATCCACAAATATGAATTAGTGCAATAATGTCTATTATAATGTTATATATACTTACAAAATAAAATATAAAAATATTATAAAACACCTTGTACCAAAACAAGGTGTGCGCTTGGGTAGGCATCCTTGCATGGACTCTCAGCCATCTGGGTGTTGCCTTGACAACTATGAACATAATTGGTGAATGTGTTGGACTTTGGAGTTTAGAATGTGTTGAACTCTGAAGGGGGTAGAAAGAGTAATGATGGAGAGAGGCCGAAGTGTAGGATTGTTTCAGAAGGTGAACAGGTGGAAATCTGAGTTGAAGGTAGAGGCCAAGCGATTTTTATTTGATCTTGGAAGGGCTGGAGGTATAAACCAGTTGAAAATTAGAGAAGACAGAAGGGCGACAGTTATTCTAAATGATGCAGCAGTTCTGTTGTTGAAAGGTTTTGTCGATGGAGTTACTTATTCTGTAAGGAAGGTTGGAGGAACTCCATAGAAATCCATAGGAAGAGATTTGAAGTAGAACTTAGAAGGAATGGAAAAGGCTGGTTCATTAGTGTCACTGAACTCTTTGATAAAAGGAGACAGTTGGTGTGCTTTCCGGAAGGGAAGGAGGGACAGGGCTGGTTGGAGGTTGCTAATAAGTTACAGGAATTTTTGTTACATACTGCTGATGCACTGATAAAGGTGCAGGATGCAAATTTGGAGGTGTCCAGTGAGCATAAGCCCAAGACTCAGATAACAGTGGACAGAAATGAGCGAGTGCTAGAAGTTCCAAAACAGAGGTCATCCTCTGGTGGAGAGATATTCGGCAGTTCAATGGAGGTTAAAAGATTCCTGTTTGAGGCGGAGAAAACTATTTGGGAGAGGAGAATGGTAATATCAGCTACAAAAGAGGTGAAGAACTGGAGGAAACTGCTGGACACAGTGGCCTGTAACTTAGGCACTTCGGCTAATTTAGCTTTGAAGCCATTCTCTGACAGKAAAGCTGTAATCGATGTTGGTGAAGAAGATTGGGACTTCACTAYCTTTGAATCCGAACTGGGTTTGCTTCAGTTCCAGAAGTGGAAACCGTTCTGTAATGAAATAGAACAGCACTCGGGAAGCCTTTCACTTAAGTTATTTGGCCTTCCATTTCACTTGTGGAGTGAGCTAAACTTGGAGAAACTGGTTACGTTGCTGGGAGGAACTGTGGTGGAGTTTAACCTTCAAGATCTTGTAGCTGCCGAGGTCAATGTTGCGGGAGTGAAAGCAGAAATGATACCCAGATCTGTTGAAGTGTTTTCAGAAGGTTGCTGGTATCATGTGTGGCTAGTTTCAGAAGTGGAAGCATCTCTTTGGGGAAGAGGTTCCAAGGTTGAAGATGCTGACATGGCGGGCTGGTACACACGTGGCGTACACTCGGTGGTGAATAATAGGGGCACACTGAGAAGTCCCCATGGGGAAGCTGAAAAGTTAGCTAAGGAAAACCAAACGTCAAGTAATCTTATTAAGGAAAAACTTGCAAAAAATTTCAAATTAAGTGGTGAGTAGGTGGGCAGGTTTTCCTTTTCTGACACGACCAAAAGAAGGGGTGGGTCGGTGAATTATAAGGGGCGCATGGGTGACTCCGAACCAAACCAGGTTAGACCCGGTTCGTTATTGAAGGTTTTAGCTGGCCCACGTGACTGTTTAAGTGATCACGTGGGTAGGGGCTTGTTTCGTGTGACACTAGACCGAAAGAATGGTCTAGCTTCTTCTCCACCGAAGCCTGTTAGGGCTGGTTTCGATCAAACGTTGAAGATTGGCTCCAAATGCCAGTTGCAGTGGTCTGCACGCTCAAAGGAAGTTTTGCAAGGTGCGGAGCATTCCGTCTCAGGCTGGCGAACTCCAAGGAGTGCTCAAGCTGGTGCGATTGTTGGGAAGGAAGCGTTTTTTGATCAGGTGGCTTGTAGTGTGGAGGGGGTTGTTGAAGAAGATGAATCGGATGGCTCTGCCGGTCTAGATAGTTTAAGGGAAGAGATCTGGCATCTAGAAGAAGTGGAAGACACACTATAGCTAGGGCGCCTCTTTTCAGATGAAGTTGGAAATGAAGTCCTTGGTGAGAAGCCCCTAACCGTTGGAGAAGAGGAGGTCAAGTTAGCAGATTGCAAACAAATGCGTGGGGAAGGAAATCTGCTCTCAAAGACAGAAGCGCCTTTGCCGAATCAGTTTGCTAGGCAGGATGTATGTAAGGAAGGAATGAGGCTTCCTAGTGGCAAAACAAGAACGCTTCAGCAAGGAATAAACAGTTGGGTATAGAGAGTAGTCCCTGTGATTTACAACAGAGAGGAAATTTACCAGCCCAGTTCCATCTCGAGGGTTTAGGACACACTCACAAACCAATACAGGGAGTGCCGGATTCCACTATCAGACCCTGTAACCCTCCTCGACTTCGGCAAAAGTCAGGTATTTGTGTTCATTCGTTTTGTGTTACTAGTGACTGTCTCTTGTCTGCTGGAGTAGAGGATGAAGCTCGTGGTGGAGTAGAGGAAACAAAGGAGAGGAGTAGAAGTGGTGAGGGTAGGGGTAAAGGTGAAGGGGTAGAGGAAGGTAGAGTTAGAGATACAAGACTTTGGGAAATTTTTAGGAGGTTGGTGGATGAGCCTGGGGAAAATAACACACAAAAGGAGAGGGTAGGAGATTTAATTTTCGGGGTAGGAGGAGGTGAAGAAATAAATGAGGATGGGGGCTCTGAAGGGCGAGAGGTTACGAAGGTGAATAGCGAGGATACTGTGGCAGATTTTGTACGAAAACTGGGGTGCCAACTAAAAGATCCAAATGATCTCAAATTTATTCTAGAAAAAAAAGGAGGGGGGCAAGGTGAAGGGGTAGAAGAAGGTAGAGATAGAGATACAAGACTTTGGGAAATTTTTAGGAGGTTGGTGGATGAGCCTAGGGAAAATAACACACAAAAGGAAAGGGCAGAAGATTTAATTTTCGGAGTAGGAGGAGGTGAAGAAATAAATGAGGATGGGGGCTCTGAAGGGCGAGAGGTTATGAAGGTGAATAGCGAGGATACTGTGGCAGATTTTGTACGGAAACTGGGGTGACAATTAAAAGATCCAAATGATCTCAAATTTTTTCTAGAAATAAAGGAGGGGGGCAAGGTGGGGAAGAAAAAAATTGAATGAGGTTGAAAAATTGATGAGAGATTTTGGAGGAGACAAGAATGTTGGTATCAAGGGGGATAGGAGGAAAGGGGTAAAGTATTGAGGCTTTGGGTTTGAAGGGATAATAATAACTCAGTAAAATGAAAATTGTCAGTTGGAATGTTAGAGGGCTGGGTAGTGCTAGGAAGAGGGAAGTAATTAAAGAGGCAATAGAAAAGGTTAACCTAGATATAATTATGATTCATGAGTCCAAGAGAGCAGAGTTTGATGCTAGGTGGGCTAGGAGTATATGGAGAACTAGGGGGGCTAGTTGGGTTATGGCACCTTCATGGGGATCCGTTGGGGGAATAATAACTTTATGGAAGAGTGAGGTGTGTATAGCAATGGAGAAATTAATAGGCCAATTCTCAGTTTCTTTGAAATTTAAGCTAGTGGAGGATGGCTATGAATGGGTGTTAACAAAATGTCTATGGACCTAATGATTATAGAGAGAGGAGGAATTTTTGGGAAGAATTGGAAGATGTAAGGTGATTGTGGGGTGTCCTTGGTGTTTAGGAGGCGCTTTTAATGTAATTAGGTTTTCGGAAGAAACAAATAATCCTAGACAGAGGGTGACCTCGAGCATGGGGAAGTTTAATCAATTTGTGGAAAGCTTTGGACTTAAAGAAATCCCATTAGCCCGCAGTGGTTACACTTGGTCCAACTTACAAGTGAATCCCATTTGCTCTAAGTTGGATAGGTTTCTTTTTTCGGTGGATTGGGAGGAACATTGGGGTAGCTTGGCCTCTAGAGCACTTCCAAGAGTAACTTCAGACCATTGGCCCATCATGATTGGTGTGGAAGAGATGGGAAGCATAGGGTCTACACCTTTCAGATTTGAGAATATGTGGCTTCTTCACCCGGGTTTTATTAATAAAATCAAGGAGTGGTGGTTAGAGAGTGACCCTGTAGTCGAATGGAAAGGAATGAAGTTCCATAAGGAATTACAACTATTTAAGAGTAAAA